TCAACCCCCAGAAGAATTTCCTCTTAAATTATTGCATAGAGCAACATTTATAAAAGCAGATGCCTGAAGGCAGACTTTGATATAATCCTTTTTATAAAGTGTTCTGAGGTCCTAAAATGCCAGCAGGAATTGCCACGTAGGAAAGCACGTTGAAAAAATTATCAATTTAGAAATGTAAATAGAAATAGGTGGCCAAATCTTTTATTGTCTTCTCAGAAAGAAAACTATTTACATTTCCAGAATTACCCTAAACAGAAATGAAATTTGGCTACAGATTGATAAATACCAAGATCCCCACCTGACTGACAAAGTGCCCTCTTGTCATGATGAAGCTTGTTAGTGTTGAGGATGATTTGGAGTGTGTTTGGCTGATTCAAGGGATGTAGGCTGATTTCCCTGCAACACACACTGAGCATGTGATCAATTCACATGTCAGATTTCTGATCCCACAGATGTCGTTCTTAATTACAGAAAATTCTGAACAAGAAAAAAAAAAAAAAAAAAGGCCTTTACAGCATTGCTGGGATAAGGAAGATTAAGAAAATCCCATCACTCACTCCTGAAATATGCAGCTCTTCCAGAATAAAGCATGGCAGCAATTTTAATCAGCATACAGATCAGCTTTTTAGAATTAGCAATAAAATAAAATGTCAAATTATGATACCATGGGGAACTTAGGAAGACAAAATGTAACTCATTACCACAATTACTCCAGCAGAATTAAAACTATTAACTACTGATCCCAAAATATGAAACAATAGAACAGGAAAGAAGAAATATTAGGGAATAATATCACCTTTGTGACAGAAACACATAATAAGTAAGATGAACACATTTTTTAGAATCTCACAGTTCTGTGCCCTCAGGACCCCTCATCAATAAACCCAAGGACAGCAAATCCAAACTGGATCAATGGGATGGACTTAATGATTGTGCTTCTAAATTCTAATTTAAAAAAAGGCTCAGATTTCCAGTGATTTATTTTGTTCTCTGAAGGGCCTGAGTGTTTTTGTATCTCTGTGATCACCACAACCAGGCACACACACTATTTATTTAAGGATATATTTTTCCCATGACCTTACAGACTCATTTCTCTGTCATGGAGAGGTCATGGAAGGAAGTTTGTTAGAAGTCAAATATGAGGAAGTGCAATAAAGCCTATTTATCTTATAGGAGGAAAAAATGAGTCAAACAGCACAGAATTATTACATAAAAAATGAAAAAAATAAAAGATTTTGAGCCTCTCTGCAGCCTCATAAAAATAGCCAGTGATAGTGCATGGGCAGATGTCCTCTCTGCTGAGCAGTGTCTGATCAGAGCCCTTTTGGACTTCAGTGAAACAATAATAATAAAACAGCAAAGGGAGTGCAATTTCCATGGAAACTTGGAAAGAGATGTAACATTGTTTGCCGTAAGCGTCCGACTGTGAATGGAAAATTTTCCAGTTTACACAGATCCCAGCTATTATTTTCTTTGCAGTGCAAACTTGGGCCAAATATTTTCTGTCATATTAAAGATGCTAATAGTCAGTTTTACTTTCTGTCCAGAACAACTGTGCACAAAAGCTTCAGAATCCACAGTAAAACATCTGATATTTATCTTTCCATGAGCCCAAAACACACATTAGCAAAAAGAATAATTTGGGCTTCCTTTATCTGCTTCTCTTCAGAAAGAGAAGGCAGATCAGAAATCATCTCCTCTTTATGTGCAATGTTTCAGACTCATAGACAGCCAGAGCATTGGCAGATGTGCCCACTGTAAATGGGAGCTTAACTCACAGGAAAATCTGCTGTTGAAACACATAAGATGATAAAAATACACCAAAAGCACAGAGTTTACATTCACATTTACAAAATTAATGAAGTGACTTTTATCTTACATGAATTTCAGAACTCACTCTCTTGCTACTCCTCCCTTACCCAGCAGCAGGAATAATTGTGACAGTCCAGAAATTAATTTTGAACAAGACAAGCCCAAGTTCTGAGCTGGGCTGCTCCAAGTGTTAAGCCTTGTGTGGGAATGGTAACAAAAGTGGATTGTGAAACTTTTGTCCCCTAAATGCAGCTGGTTGGTGTAGTGTGGGAGCTGTGATAATGACATGGCAGCTCAGGGAACACCTCTGCAGATCTGGTGCCTGACCTGTACTAGTCCCAAGCTGGAAGAGTCCAGAGCTGAAATCTAAATTAGTCTGGAAGATGTGTGCATGCCCAGACATCCCTGCCCTTCCCACTGCTGGACATGTCCCACAGAGAAAAGGACTTTCCTGCAGGAAATGTGTGGTGATCTCAGACCTCTGGGGCTGAAATGTGGGAACAGTTTGGGGCCATACTTGTGCAATTTGAGTTGTCTTTAAGTGAGATAACAAACACAATGGCAACATCAAACAGCTCCTGAAGGATCCAGGCAGAGCAGTTGTGTGATAGAGACTGAGCTGGTCCTGCTGGGATTCCTGGATAGAATTGAGACAGGCATTGTTTAAGGCAAGGCACTGCTTAAGAAGGATTTGGTGTTTAGCACAGATTCCATCATAGGCTGACTGAAGCTTTCTCTTCACAAGTTCACACACAGTCCCAAAAGTCACGTTGGTTTTATACCTGCCTGCCCAGAGAGATGACAGAGCAAGTCAATCACCTGGCTTTGAAAATCTATTTCCCCTTTTACATCTTGCAAATTCTACTCACTCACTTGTAGATCACACAAAGAAAGAGGAAGCAGCATGACTCAGCTGCACACTACAATGGCTGGAGCAGATCCAGACCTTGCAATCCTTTGGGCTTTCCTTACCAAAACACAAAGCTGCAGCTTGGCTAATGTAAAGCATGCAGTGTTTGTGTAAGCAATGGGAGATGGGCAGCAGGCCAGCAGCTCTCCCAGAGCAATGTGCTCCTCCTTTACATTGATAGCAAATCATCTTCTCAAGAGTTCAGCAAGGAACAAAGAGCCAAAGGGCTCTGATGTTAAAATGCTAAGGAGCAACAGCCTCTGAGCTGTATTCTGCAGGCATGAATTTACACTGAAATCTAGTGGTAAATAATGAATTACTTTAGCAAGTTCCACACAATGCCATACCAGCAAATATTTTTGTATAATCTGCAGATTACATAAGTCTCAAGACACACAGGAAAACTACTGACCTTAGTGAATCCCAGAACTTGGAGAAAGTTTCAAAAACCCTGAGTCCCAGTGTTTTGTCTAAACCACTGGAAAACAGTATCTAAAAATCAGCTACACTAGAAATTCAGTGTGGTCTAGAGATTAAACCTGATCCTCTACCAGTTTGCTAACACCTGATCCACAGATGTTTTTCATAAAGAGCATCCACATGGTGAGTGATGGCACAGTAAATAATGCACTGTAAACACATTTAACTTTGCTGTGTAAACAAGCTCGGAGCAAAATTCATCAAGAACTTCACTTCATTTACTCCCTGAGTGCACAACAAAGTTGAAGGGTTTGATGGTTATCTCACAGCAATCTAACTCAGAGGTAAAGACCTCAAATCCAAACCTGTTTCTTGGAGCAATGATGAACATTCCAGCCCAGCTCTGGGCAATGGGACGGCTCTGTCATCTCAGGCACTGCCTTCACAGGGGGAGCACGGATCAGGACAGAAATGTGTGCAATAATAATAAATAAATAAAGTCAGTAAGAGGCATCAGCCAGGAGATTTCTCTGAAAAGGCCTCACCTTCCAAAGACTGATTTACAACAAGCAGCTCCCTGGGCTGTGTGTGGGGTGACTGAGCAGCATCAGGACTTGCATCACTCACCAGCCAAGCTCACACTGCTTCAGAGGATAAAAGGCCAAGTGGCTTCAGGGCTTTAATGTCAAAGATGGTTCATTGAGCAGACTTTCTGCTTAGCAAAGCTGAGCAGCTTTTTCCTTATTCCTCCCCAGAATGTTTTGGGCATTGTCATATGCTTGTAGTACAGAACTTGCAGTTACCCAGAGCCAGCTCATGAGAAGTGAACGGAAACATCTCTTTCCATTCCAAAGGAAAAACAACTTTTATGCTGTTTTCCTCAGCAAGCTGAAAACTTGGAGAGAAACCTAAAGCTAAAAAAAGCAAAGAACTCAAAAAGATTCATATTCTGGACTGTGGTTTCTGCTGCCTTAGCTCAAGGGAAAATATGGTCATGGGAAAAGGGCCTGCCTGGAGCCAGAGTTTTTTCCAACTCTGGCTGTTCTAGTTGGAGTGGCTTTAAATCAATATGTTGATATTATTTCTTCATAAACAGAAATATTCTTTATGGGCTGTGTGATAGCTGTTTACAAGTGAAACAACCACTTGTATCATGTTTCCTAGCAATCAGTGTCTCATTCAGATCTTAAACACAGACAGTGATTGGGCAATCTGAGAGGCTTTTACAACATTAGCTCCAAGTTTCACTGATTCAAAGTGTTAAATCACCCTCCCAGAGGAGAGCTCCTGCACAGAGAAGTGTCAGCTTTGCCACCCTCTGCAGCTACACACAGCTGAAACAACACCACACCTTAGGAAAACATATCTTGCATGGCTTAATTTTGAAGAATCTCACTGTCATGTTACTGTGGACTGTCTTTAGTTCTGCACTTCACTTTTGTCTTTAGCCAGGACTAAAGCAGATTGAAAATATGATAGAATTCCACACTAACCTTGAAAAGACCACCTACAGACAAACCTGCCCCAGGCAATCCAGAGAATTTCTGTCTGTCTACAGTTGTTACACAACAAAATGTGATCATGCTGCCCAGACAGGGTGCCAGATGCCAGCAAGTGTGGTTACCATTATTCCAAATGCTGTATGAACAGAGCTTCACCTAGGAACTGTGATCCCCATCATGCAAAAGAATTGTCTTCTGCATTAATTAGATTTATGAGAAGAATTAACAAAAATATCTGATATTGTCTTTCTTGAGATTCCTCAAGGCTTTTTAGAACAACACAGCTCTCCTGAATGTTAAAGTGAAGTTCAACCCCCTTTAAAACTGGAATTCTACTGGAAAGGAAACCCAGTTACCTGTGATCAATGACTGTGACATCAGAAGCAGGAATGCCCAGGACACAACAGCTCTGCTCCAGCTCTTTCTTACGAATCTCTCCTTGATTGTAATAATTTCCTGAAAACAGCAAACACAGCAACACCAGCTAACTCACTTTAGGTTCAGATCAAGGGGTCCAAACAGCTCAGCATCTTCTTCCTTGTTCCATTCACAGAGGAAATTAAGGCAGAACTGACATGGCAAGACTGCAGAAACTTAGAGAGGCAAAAGAAGAGAGAAAACCTCATCAAGATAAAGGCAGCTGGGAAAAGTTGTAACAGAGATCAACAACTAACAGGGAAATGGGATTCATCATCTTAAAACATTGGCTCCCTCTCCACTGAATTATTTTCTTCTCATCTTGCCCTGACATTCCCTTATTTTTTCTTGGCATCAGCCATGCAAAGTCCCTGCCAGAGCTGTGATGCCCCTTCCAAAACGTTGCTCTATGCAGGGCAATACTTGCAACTCAATTTTAACTTTGAAGTAATAAAATGAAAAAAATACAGTTGAGTATTAATGTGTGATTCAAGTCTGTAGTCAGCTGTCTTGAATTACAGCAGAACTTTTTATTGTTGTGGGTGTGAGTCATCTAAATCTAGCATTTCTCTGGAGCAGTGTTGCAATCTGAGCCATCTCTAGCAAGCTTTGTACAATTTTCAAAGAGAGAAAGAGTAACTAGAAGGAAAAATCCTCTTCCCACAGCTGTGACTGAATGACTTTGGGAGACTGACAGTGGGATGCACCTTGGATTGCAGCTCCAGCTGCAGCAGAGGGAACTGGAGGGTGCAGCCTGTCTGGAATCACTGAGGGAGTACAAGAGAGTTCATTTCAGAGTGGTTTTTACCAGGCCATTACCAACACAGGGCTGGGAATAAACAGCTTTTGCTGCAGTGCAGTGTCACAGCAGAATGCAGGTGATGCTTTATCCAAACACTCCCACTGCTCCCAAAACCCCTGACTTGTGCTGAACTCAAACAGCTCCACAGCTGCAGAAATGTGTCAGGACATCAGGAGTGTGTCAGGGCTCACCAGCAAGAATGGGCAGCTGCTGAGAGCAAGCCCAGCTGAATAGCTGATGCTGCTGGACCTCATCCATGGAGCTCTCACAACAGAGCCAGCTACTACAGAGAGCAAAGCACATTTAGACTGAGTTATTAATTCAATCTAAGATTATTCAGTGTGTCAAAGACTGATTTCTTTTTCCCAGTGCTGTAATTCTAACTCATTTCTAAGTCAAATTGATTGATAACTGAAAACTGCAAGTACAATGGTTTTTAAGTAATGATTTTGTCTCAGTGTTAACAATTTGCAGTGCCTTTGATCAACTCACTTGTCATCATCAATCACTCAAACAATGAGGGGATGAACCATCTGAATCACCCACAAGACTAATCAGAGGCTTTTAAAATAAAAATCTCTTAGCTCATAAAGGTGCTCTCCCCTACATTTCCTTACAAGTGAGAAAGTACCTAGAAGGAAACAGCAAACACCCTGAATGTGTCATGCCACTGAATCAGGAGTAAAGAGAAAAGAAAATTCAACAAAATAAACAGAAACACAACATTCTTTGGAAAGTTTTCTACCAGCAGCAGTGAATTAGTCCCCAAAACTGAAATGGCAGAGTTGCACTTCAGTAATCTCCCCACAGCTGTGGAGATGCACAGACCTCTGTCCCTCAGCAGAGACAATGAAAGCTCTGCACTAAATCTTGAATGGGAGGTGCAGAGGCATCAGTAAAACCACTGGGTTTCAATAGTTCAGTCCCTGTCTTCTCACCTGAACGTCTGCCAGGACAGGAAGCTTTGGAAATGACAGAAATGTTGGCACTGAACTGGCTGGAGCTGCCAAAGGCACAGGGGGCTCTCTCCCAAAGCTAAGCAGATCTCAGTGTAAGAATTCTGGTACTGCAATGTGGTCTGAAAGATCAACCCAAACCAGGTTGTTTCTCATGCACAGAAACCTGAACAATGCAATAACTGCTCGGGTGTCAGTTCTGCAGAACAATCTGGAGCTTCAGCAGATCATAAGATAAACACAAAAGTGTTGTGTGCTGTGGAAAGTTCTTGTGCTGGGCAAATAGCGGAGCCTGTAAGAATCTCTCCTCTCTATTCAGCCCCAGCTGCAGTGCTGCTTCCAGTTTGTCATCACTGCCCTTCCAAAAATTACATGAACCAAAGGAAGAGTCCAAGGGAGAGTGATGAAAATGATTAGAGGTTTAGAAAACATGATCTATGAGGGAAGACTGCAAGTAATCAGGTTGTTTAGTCTGGAGAAGATAAGGCAGAAGAAGCAGATAACAGTCCTAAAATATGTAAGAGGCTGTTACAAAGGGATACTCTGATTTCTATGTTCCTGCCAGGCATGAAAAAATAAACAAACAAGCTTAAATTACACCAGTGACTCAGGGAAAAGTGATTTGAGGGAAAGCTAAAGCAGCACCGACACAGACCCCACAGGCTGAGGCACCTCCCCGGACATCCTGGAGAACAAACATTTGTCTGCAGCAAATGAAGACATCGCTGCTGCTTGCAGGTCAGCACTGATGGACAGCCCGACCTCGCATTCCCTTCCGGGCTATTGCTCCATGATCGGATTGTAACGCAAGTGCTGCTTTAGGTGTGTTACAGTGGACATTAAAACTGGACCATTCCAACAAGTCTTGAGCAAGACAACAGAATCACAGGGAGATGCCAAAAGGCCGCGCTGAGCAGCACCTCTGACAGCCCAATGACACCGCCCCGCAGCCTGAAAGGGCTTCAGCATCGCAGCTTTCAATTTGAGCACGTTCCCCTCTGCTCCCTCACGCCACGCTCTTGCAGAGGAGAGGGGGGCGAGGGCCGGGGAAGGGCGGGCGATGGCCGCACCGTGCCTCAGTTTCCCCACAGCGTCACGG